GTGAACACTTGAGTGGCGCGGCGTGGCGTGGCGCGAGCCATTGACACCGAGGATGTGGAACTGCGCCGCAAATTGGAAAAGTTGGAATGGCTTAACCGTCGGGCCGGGCCGGGGTAACCGAGCCGCCAGGTCACTTCTATTCTTCAACCAAATTCCCCGCCGCCGGCGACACACGGAAAATAATACGAAGGGAGGGACAAATTGCCTGTCAATTTGTTGTCCACCTAGCTCTTCTCCCTCTGCTGCTCTTTTTATATTTTCGTCGAATACAATAAATAACGTGGGGAAGGGCGGTGGTGGTGGGGCGCCGTCGCCGCCGCAGCTCGCCGTGCCGACCGATCCTCCCCCACTTTTTTCTTGCCGACCGCTTGCCGTTGCCTGTCATGTGTGGGGCGAAACCGCAAAAACAAGTTTGAGAAAGAATAAGGCCATCATGCCACGCACGCGCCGAGCTCCCGGCCGATACCCGGGGGGCTGCCCGCCCCCGGCAACCACCCCAACCGCGCCCCCGCCCATCCTGCTTGGAGTGCCCACCGCAACTCGCAACACATCAACACGCCACGTGTGTGTCCATGCCCAAGCCATTATATTACATCAAGTGATGTGCAGTTTTATCATGAGGGGTCTCATTCACTTCGCTACTGTAAACGCACTGATATAGACCGATTGCGACGACTCGTTATTGATTCCGCTCACGAATTGATAAATATGCTAAAAAAAAGCACGACCTTATTGCCATACAAATGATGACTAATCTTCACCACGATATCAATTTTATCAGCATGACTCCACGCTGATGCGGAGGTTTCAATTTGATGAACCGTTGCCAATGTCGACCTTGTTGGAATTCGTAGAAAATTGAAGTGAAAAGGTTTTTTTGGTTGTTGTTTTCTTTTCATTTAAATAGCTGGAAAGGTGGACGAGGCCGAGGGAAGTCGGGGGGAGGGGGGACGGCGATGGTAGCGGGAGCGCCAAAGGAAACATTTGAGATGACTCGGGGATCAAGTGCCTCGAGATTACCCCCCGCCCCCACCGGCCGCCTCGCGCCGCGCCATCCATCAGGACGAAGGTAGGTCAGCACTTGAGCTCCCTCCAAGCACAACAATAAGGCTCTGCGCCACGCAGAGCAAACCGATCAGCAGAGGCAGAAATAATGGGAGCAGGAGTAGCAGAGGGGGGGGGGGAGGGCGCCATTCGTGTAAGCCTCCCCGGGTGGGCCGGCTGGGGCACCGCGAGTTATCAACTATTTCTAGCGCATTAGGTCCGCCGGGGCGAGCAAGGGGGGGGGGGGGGAGTGGGGGGAAGCAGATAGGGATCCGTGCCGCACACGGGGATGATGGATCTCCGGCAGAGGCCCCATCTACGACTGCGCGCTGCCCTACGCTGCGCTGCTCTCCTTCCGCCTCTCCCCCCGCCCTCTTACAGATGATGCTTGCCTGCCTGCACGGTCCCAATCGTCCGGAACATGTAAGAGGTCCTCTCTCCACGCATCACTACTCCCCCCCCCCTCCGCACCACTAGCGCGACACACGTGGAGAGCCAGCACGGATCCTTACAAAGACGTGCCAAGCACACACACACACACTTCCTACACACATACACACACAACGAAATTAACGGGAACGTTTTTCCATTTCTTGTGCGCGTATGTACGTCCGCACGGCAACGGCACAAGAAAAGAGGTGTGTAAATAATGAATAATTCACATCCCGACACCTCCCCCTCTACTCGTCCCGGGCCAAGCGAGCCCGCGGCGCGCTGCCGCACCGTCAGGCGTCGCACTTGGGCAGTGCGCGGGGAAGAGCAAAGCAAACCCGCGCAAAGTCAGATATATGGCAATCCTCCACGCGGGGTATCTGCATTGCCGGTTTTCTACGGCGAGGGGTACATCACTCAAAAGAAAAATCGGTGTTCATCCTCGAAAAAAAAATCAATTAAAGAATCAGAAAAAAAAAAGTTCCGACCAGAAACGGATCGTGAAAGCAGATGATACCAATTTAAGAGTAAGCTTTGTTCTACCTTTCTCCCATATTTTTAC